TTATATATTTTAAGGTTAAAATTTTATTTTTTTTATCAAAAGTCAAAATTAATATGTACCATTATCAATGAATAGATTCATCTCATATATTGTTTTTCCATCTTATTATTTTGCTTTAAATTTATTTTGAACAGCATTATCCTGCAATGGCCGAGCGAAAGTAGTGAAAATAGTTGTTTGATACAATCAAAGAAGGCATAAAACAGTGCCCCAAAACGAATCAAGCACAAGCAGGAGACAACCGTTCACACACCTCACTGTACACTGTATGGTTAGATGTAAACGAATGTGGCTAATTAAGTCCTAACTTATTATTTTGTTCCTTAAGCCCCGCGCTATAAACGACCGTTCCGATCCAGTAGCATTGAACCTAAATTAAGGCTGTTCACCTCTATGGGTGGCATGTTTGAGCCCCATGCAACTCATTTCCACCCTCTCCCATATATACATGTAAATAATGCCAAAATTATTCAAAAAAAAAAAAAGCCCCACGCTATTGGTTAGGGTCTTAAAACTCCCTCATACCAGAGCTTTCACGCCTTACAAATAGCTACATAAAATTCTACATAAAACCAGTATTCATATATTCCCACTAGCACCAGCTGGGAGACACACAAGAAAAATAAACACCACACCATCAGATCAAGGAAAGAATAATAGAAGTATAAAACATCTCATAGATGAATAGAACCATCCTTTTTACTTCTATTGAACTGTAAAAATTTGTTCCTCTACAACTTTGATATCAAGGCAAAAACACCCCGGAAACATTAGATAGACATTAACAAACATAAACAGTCATGCATGTTTTATTCGAACTGCAGAACATTCGGAAACAAAAAGTCTAACTCAGACTCATGCATGAAAATGTAAGTCGCCTTGAACCAGTTTAGCTTCAAGCTTGGACAGAAGCCATATGGACAATCAAGTCAACCACACGGGAACTGCATAGAACGAGAGATATTTAGGTCATATAACTGCAGCTTGATAGAACTTTAGAAGGTGCAATCAATGGATGGATTCAAGTTAATGTTAAGTTATGGCTGAAATTACCTATAACCCCATTCGTTGTCATACCAGGAGACAAGTTTGACAAAGTTTTTGTTCAAAGCAATACCAGCCTTGGCATAAAAAATGCTTGACCTGCATCAGAACAAAACTTTTAGATTAGGAAAATTCTGCAAATCAGAATTACCCAGGATAGGTTTAACATATATTAGGCTCTTTCTTAAATTATGGTCTATAAGATTCACTGCCACAGATAAAAAAGAGTAGCTTAAAGATGCATGGGGAATTCCTGTATTGATTTACCTGCTGTCACCAACAAAGTCTGTAGACACAACATCTTCTTCAGTGTAGCCCAAAATTCCCTTGAGCTTGCCCTCAGACTCCTCCCTGTGGATCATAAGAGCATGAATGAGGATCAAACCAAATGACAAACAGGTAACAGGACACAAGAAACAAAATAGCATATCAAAATCTTGGGGAATAACTATATATGCACTCACTTGATAGCACATTTGATGTCCTCATAAGTTGCCTCCTTCTGAAGCCTAACTGTGAGATCAACAACTGATACATCCACAGTTGGAACACGGAAGGCCATTCCAGTCAATTTACCATTAAGGGCAGGAAGAACTTTTCCAACTGCCTGCATAATCACAAAGCATAACAATAAGATTGGAAGAGAATTTGTTGTGGTTCGATACAATAAAGTGATCTGCGTCACCAAAATAAAACATTTGAATATTGCAAATAGAAAGAAACATCTACCCTAATGAGCATACCTTGGCAGCACCAGTACTGCTAGGAATGATGTTGAAGGAAGCGGCTCTGCCACCTCTCCAGTCCTTCATTGATGGTCCATCAACAGTCTTCTGTGTGGCTGAAAACAGGGATTTAAATGAGACATCAGTGACCACTATATCTAATTAAACCCTCTAAAAAGGCAGAAACTACTTACCGGTGATTGAGTGGACTGTGGTCATAAGACCCTCAACAATTCCAAACTTGTCATGGATGACCTGTAAAACTCAACCAGAAAACATAAGCATCAACATTCAATCCTATGATTCTTCTGCCTGTATAGTATTTTTTTAAAAATGGCAGAAAAACAAACCTTAGCCAGGGGAGCAAGGCAGTTGGTGGTGCAGCTAGCATTGGAAACAATATCAAGCTCTGGCTTGTATTCCTTCTCGTTCACACCAACAACAAACATGGGTGCATCCTTGCTACCAGCAGAGATGACACCCTTCTCTGCGCCACCCTGAACAACCAAAAAGAATCTAGTCAATCCAAGTTGCAACATTCACTTGTTTTTCCCAGACCCACAAATCAAATTCAGAGGTAACAGTATAATAGAATTCTGCCATCTACAAGCCATCTTAGGAAG